ATATTATATTAATAGATAGTAAGAATTTATAAAGTTAGTAGTCAGTTAGTATAAATATCATTCCATAGCTCGGCATTTGAAAACTATTAGGTATGAGATGAAAGTTGCAGACATTGATCCTTTTATTTGTCTATATATGAAGAGTCTTTATTATTTTGTGCATCGATGTTATTTTGATAGAGTAATGTGACTAGCTGCTCTATTAGGTTCCTTCGTAGGGTTACATTTTATATATTTTTTGTCTTAGGTGTTGTTTGTTTTTTTGAAGTCAAAATGTCTGCAGTCTGCGGACCACATCTGCAAGCCTCTGCGGCAGAAGAGGTGGACCAAATGTCTGCAATCTGCAATAAAAAGACTGTTTGTTTTTAACGTCTGCGGGCCGTTAAAATAAATTGAATTTTTAAACTTAATTTCATGTTATAAACATTAAAAATGTATTTTTAACAAAAAAATGAAAGAAAAAAAAACTGCACGGTGGCCATGTTTTTTTTTTTTTTTAGGTTAAAATGAGGTCTGAAGACCTTTGAAGACAGTGGCCCATGTCTGCGCCAGGAAGACCTCGCGCAGACGTTTTCTGATCTGCGCACTTCCAAAAAACAAACAATCTGCGAGGGCATATGTCTGCGCGTTGTCTGCGCGGCGTAGACAAAAGTGGTTGCGCAGATCTTCAAACAAAAAACAAACAGCCCCTTATTGTTGTTGTCTGCAGACTTTTAGTATAACAATAAATTAGTATTTGTAAATGAAATTACATAGGTTGTTATATTTTTAAGAAAGACAATGATAGTGCAATGTTATAATAGCAACCTACATTCATTTCTTACCGATACACTATTATGCTTTGAAAAATCAACCTAACTATTGCAATTTCATTCTAATATAAAGCAATTTTCACAAAAAAGTATTTTTTAAACTCTCGCTTCGATGCGCAGACAAAAAAACCTTGTTTTAAACAAAATACAATACTAGAAATAATTGTTTGTTTTTGAACAAAACACATTATTACTCTATCTAATTTGAAATTGGAAATGAACAGTGGGGTTTTAACGTTTGCGTTTCAAATATTTGCTACAATTTTGGATATTGAAAAAATTATTCAATAAGTATTTTTACTAAGTTGTTGTTTGTTTTTTGAAAAAAAGTCTTTTCAGACCTTTTATTGTTGCACGGCGCAGCACCCGCGCAACACTTTTCATCTCGTAGCTGTTTGTTTTTCAGAAGTCTTAGAATTAAAAAACTTTTGCATGTGTTCTTCTTGGTGCAACACTTGTTTTGCTTCTTCCACATTTCATTCTTATTTTTTTTCTTGCTAAAATATTGATTATATATTGTTGAAATCTTATTTCACATTTTTTTTTGTTTTTATTTTTTATTTATTCTTATTGATTTTTTTCTTTTTTTTTTATATACAATAATAATAATTTGATGATGAAATATCATTATTTTATGCTAAAATATCTTTATATTTTTGTTAAAATACCATTATATTTTGCTGAAATATCATAAATTCTTACCGAAATGACATACATTATTGAATTTTCGGTATTAAAAAACTATTTTCGGATTATAAAATCAGTTTATTTTAATTTTTTAATATCTGCAGCAACGTGTATATGTTAAAAAAACAAACACATTTCTTATTACAGTCTGCAGCCGTTTGCTCCACCTCTTCTACTGCAGAGGGTTGCAGAAGTGGTTCACAGACTTTATGAATTTTTGCTTCAAAAAAACAAACAACATCTAAATACTTTTGCATTTTAGAATTTTGCCTTTTGAATATTGATAGATTTAGTTTCTAAAATTTTATACTTAACGGAAAAGGCCCTTGTGATTTTTTTATGTTTTAAGATTTTTATATGTTGGCATGTTTGACACATATGTATAAAATAAATTACAAAAATTGTTCCTGTATTTTATAAAAAATGTATTTTTTTACAAAAACAGTCCATATGTTTAAATAATTACAATATAGTGGCAACAAAATAGAAAATTTATAGATTACATCCCTCGCAATGTATTGCTATGTTTTGTCCCTACATTTTTTTGGTTTCATACTTTGGCAACATGAATTTTGTATATTTGCAAGTTTGCTCCTTACACTTTCTTAGTTACATAAGTTTGGTCTCCCACAATCGTTAGTATATAACTTACTAGCTTTAATCTAAAAATATTTCACTTCATTTGCTTTGATGGCATCCCTTTCAAAACTCCAATTTCCCGATCATCCACGGTCTATTTGTGGAATTGTAGTCTTTTCTTCTAAATGTTGAAATAGACAATTAGCTATTGAATTTAAAAGGAACGCATTGAAAATAGATTTGTGAATTCATGATTACTGTTTTACATGGTAGATGCATGGTTTGGCTATAGGGAGTGGTCACTACCAGCCGACTGAAAAAATGTTGTCATCTCTGCGCCATATGAGTTTTATCACCAACACACTACACACACTACACATTGAAAATAATTACCAGTCCACAATATTTAATTTTTTTTTAACATTATATTAAATAAAAACATAATTTATAACATAAATAAATTTTGAAAACATTAAAAAAAAACCCACATTTCATCAGTTAAAAATATAGAAATTTAAAACCTAAATTACTAAAATAAACATAAAACATACCAAATAAAAAATTACACTACTTAAAAAAAATTAAAACTTAAAAAAACCATAGATAAATACTACTCGTCGTCGTTGTCATCACCGACCTCATCCGCTTTGTTGCCACCATCCTCATTCGTCTCGTCAACACCATCCTTATCCTCTTCGTCTTCATTGTCATTTTGCCCTGGGAATTGTCTTTCTATTATGTGCTCGATCAAATCGTGACGTAGATTGTGATGTGTTTCACGGTTTGTATTTCCAAAACCCTAGAAAAGTATGTTGGACTACCAAATTGTATTACTACAAGTGAATTAAGTATATCGTTCCCAGTATATGAACAAATAGCCTTACCCTCTTCTTCTATTGTCAGGGTATGTAAAATAACACAAGCCGTGAATACTGTCCTCATTTTTGCCTTATCCCATGTTTGTGCAGGATGTTTGATTATGTGTGACCTTTATTTTAGGACTCCAACCGCTCGTTTCACATCCTTCCTTGCAGATTCATGTACTAACTTGAACAATTTTCGTTTTTCATCGGTCGGAAATGAATATGACTTGACAATTGTAGTATACTCTGGATATATCTCATCACCTAGGTAATACACATACTTATATTCATCTCCATTCACAACGTATGACATGTTTAGTGCTTTACCCTGCAAAATATTGTTAAATAACGGAGACGCTTGGAGCACGTTCAGGTCATTGTTTGACCCCTCCATACCAAAGAATGCATGTCAAAACCATAGGTCTTATAAAGCAACCTCCTCTAATATAATAGTCGGGACCCCATGATCACCTTGCATGAATTGACTATGCCATGCATTGGGACAATTTGCTTGATCCCAATGTATACAATTAATACTACCAAACATCCCTGGAAAACCATGTTTAGTTTGATGCGTGACATACAACTGTTCGTCATCACTTTTGGTCGGATGTCGCAAGTATATGTCACGGTAAAGCTCTATAGCATACTTAAAGAAAAGATATGTACAACCTCGACTCTTCCTCTCGGACATTTTCAAATACTCATCTGATGCGTCCGCGGCTATACCATATCCCAATTGTCTAAGAGCGATCATATATTTTTGTATTGTAGTAAAACCACGTTTAGCTCTAGCATCTCGTCTTAATAGGAAAAACTCATAAGTACATTCTAAATTTCTAGCTATAGATAAGAATAAATTTCTACTAATACGAAAATGTTCTTTAAAATTTGATAGATCATATAAATTATCAGGAGCAAAATAATCATGTACCAAAAGTTTATTTGTCATCTCTCGATTCCGATTGATCAATTTTTTATGCTTCTTCTTGCCATGTGAACTTTCGTCTCTCTCACGAACCATGTCTTGTACCACAGACAATAGTGTGTGAAATACCAACTCGTCATCAGAATCATCATCAGATGAAGAAGAAACTGAACCAGAAAAATTATCTATTTTTTTAGTAAATTACACGAATGGTCCCTATGGTTTAGGGTAATTTGCACGTTTGCTTCCCAACTTATTTTTTTAACTCGGAAGGTCTTTACTGTTTGTTTTTGTTACGCGCTTGGTCCCTATCTTACCTAAAAAGACTATTTTACCCTTGACTTTTGAATTTATTTAAATAAACACATCCTCAACCCCACCTCTATCACCTTACATTACTCATCCCACCATTTTTATCTATTTAAATAATAGTCTTTTTAGATAAAACAGGGACCAAGTGCGTAACAAAAACAAACAGTAAGGACCAAGCGCGTAACAAAAACAAACAATATGGAATTTTCGAGTTAAAAAAACAAGTTAGAGACCAAGTGCGCAAATTACCCCAAACCATAGGGACCATTCGTGTAATTTACTCATTTTTCTAAAAGTGTGAATATTTTGAAAGAGTGTGAAAAAAATGTGTAAAGTATATGTACATACACAAAGAAATTTAATTAAATAACTGAATGATTTTTTAACGGTCGAAATCCCCCCCCCCCCCCCCCCCCCCTCCCAACAGTCAAAATCGAGTTAAACCAATCAATGTGTCCATCGCCTCAGGCAAAGCACTGGGGCTGTATTCACGCGTCTACAGAGTTTCACCTCACCACTCATGTGTACATTTCCTTCCCACTCTCGTTAACCTTATCTGATTATATTTATTAGAATTAAAACTTTAAGAATGGAAATAATATATGATCGGTCATTTTAATGGTATAATTCTAAAGTTCTTTTCTATAAATATGAGTTAAAAAGGAGTAAAGTATCTATCAATGATGATTTAAGTTTTCATTAAAAAAAAAAAATAATTAATAACTAAGAGTTCATTTTTTTTAACGGCACATAGAGTTCATACTTCATATGGTTGACAAATTCCCCCAACGAAAGATTCTCTATTTAAATACAACAGCATGACTTCTAGCATCCTCCGTTCTTATCCTTTTCACCACAAATTACGAAAAAAATAACAATTTATTTTTATTTTAGATTAGATAAAAAAAAACTATATTTAAAAACTAAAACTATTAGATAAAATTGAATTGTTGTTTTATGCACTTTATTCTTATTGAAATCATAAATATGGTAAGATGTTTAATTTATATGAAATATATTCTCTTCATATAACATATAATGAGGTTCATTTAGGCTTTCAAATAGCAGATGTGACTTTAAGAAAGGTGAATAACACAACTAAAATTTTATACTCATATATATATATATATATATAGCACTTAATTCATCAAGCTACAACTCTTTAGTATAGAGAGAGAGAGAGATGAAAAGAAGAAGAGAAATGGAGAAACAATGTTCATCGGAGTTAAGATCCACCATCGATGAGCTTTCTTTGTTAGCTGTCATGAAGTTTAAACATCATCGTCATCTTCATCATCATAATGATCCTGTTATTACAGATGGCCTGCCAAATGACACTCATATCCCTACCAGGCCCTTCCTTTCTGTCTGCAATTTCCTTCTTCATCTTCTTGGTCCGTCTCTCTCTCTCTCTCTCTCTCTCTCTCTCATAAAGTTGTCGTTTTTCAAGATGTAGAACTGTTGAAAAATGTTTGATGGATATATCTGGGAATATGATAGAAGTTGATCAAATTTGTCTTTTTGTTGATTGCAGATAAGATAGGGCCAACCATGGCAGTTCTCAGACAAGACATCCATCGGAATATACTGGTATGCTTTGGAAGTTATGATCCATTCGTCTATGCTCACCTGTTATTATTTGTTTATTTTATTCTAAGGTAAATTGTTCAAAACTTATAAAATAATCATGGCATTGATATATTAATGATAAATATTTTTGTTTCGGTATTTACATGATAGAAATAAGCTACAAGGGCAAAAAGACAAGTGATATATAACACATATTTTAAAATAGATAGACAATTATTTTAATAAATTAAACTTAAAACTAATTGAAGATAACCCTAAGTAGACAGACTTTTTTTTCTTCTTTTGATCTATTAAATTACAAAACCAATCTATTTGATACTTAACTCTTCTGTAATCACTTTCTCCTCCTTAATTCATCCTATGTGTCGTCTTTTTCATCATCATCTTTCTGCTGTACCTCTGCAAACTCTTTGTGTTTTACCGATATGGTAATTTGATATGGAAAAAAAAAAAAACCCGGCTATCTCGTTAATGTTGGGATGTCTGGCTCAATAATTTGGTTTTAAAAAATAATTTATGGGGCTGGCAGACGTCACGCTGATATGGTAAACACGTCGAAGTCAAATATTAGACGCAAACCAATTTATTCTTGTTGACTTCATGTCGGGTTGAGTGTTCGTGTTAGTATTTTTCAGATCTAGTTGCAATTCATATTGTAATTACAATACTTTCAAACAAGTGTGTTCCTTAAAATTTTAAAATCTAACACTTATTAAAAATGCTGCTATTTTCAATAAAACATGCAAACACTTGAAGAAATGAGTGTTGCACTATGTATGTTACTGCAACACGATCTAGAAGTGTGGTATTATAATGAAAAACAGCTCTTTTTTAAAGTGTTGCTATAAGAAACTAAAATTTTGTGTTTCATACCAAAAGACTTCTACCTAATGATATTAGGTGTTGTCTTTCCTCTTGAGATTGAAGATTTAAGTCTAGTTGTAAACATAAGTGAAATTTAAAGATTAATTTAAGAGTATATTTGCTTTGACCATGTCGAAAGTCATGTGAATGGACATAAGCCATATCCGAAGAAATGATGAGTGTCTAGAATTAATGGTTAAGTTGAATAACAATTTCTAATTAAATTATGTGTGTATTTGACAAAAATAACAATAATTTGGAAGTTTTTGGTTATTTGAAGGTTATCCAATTTTTTGTATTCGTGTATAGTGTTATCTTGGAGTTGAAAAGACAATGGAGAAATATGATTTAGGTTTCCAAAATTACCCATATGTTTATTTCCATTATTGTTATATATGTAAGGGCAACTTAGTAATTTGGTACCAAAGAAGGTTTATTTTATATATTTGATCCTTAGAGACTGGAGAAAATGCAAGAATTAGACCCCGTGCTTTATTCAAATGTTGTGGAGATACTAAAGAAAGAGGCAAGTGAAGGCACATCAAGAAAGATGAGTAGTTGTAGCAAAGCCTTTGTTTGGCTTACTAGGTAATTATTCATTCTATTTTAACATTAGCTTTAAAATATTTGAATTGACAATATTACCCTTGAAGAAAAGCTTTTGCGCATGTTTCACTTTTGTAGATCTTTGGACTTCACATCGAATTTATTGGACTTAATCGGGAAAGATCTTGGAGTGAACATCGAACAAGCTGTTCAAGAAGCATACGAAGCCACTCTAAAACCATGGCATGGCTGGATCTCTTCTACGGCTTACAGGGTACTATTTAACAATATATTGCATTTATCTGTATATATAATTAAGTTGCTTTTTTTATATTTTATGCAAGGATTATGCTAAGATATAATAAAGAATTAATGTATCACATTGTAGGAAATTAACTAATCTAACTACAATTTTATATTTATTTGACAAAAATAACCCAAAAAATATATTTTTAGCAAAAATAACCATTTGCTTCCGAATGAACATTCTTGGCAAAGAAAAACACTTTTTTCTAACAAAAAAAAATTCACTGATATTCCGGTTTGCAGACTAAAATTTTGGATTTAAAAAACTAAAACTTCGGAATTTTAAGAATAAGTTCAAATTTTGATGAATAATTCCGAAATTTCGAGTAAAGATCATTACTTAAATCTAACAAAAAATTAAACAAACATAGTAAATGCAATAAATATATATATATATATATATATATATATATATATATATATATATATATATATATATATATATATATATATATATATATATATATATAAACACACACGATATTAGTTTATAAAATCATGATGGGTGAGACAGCAAGGGCCACTGATGGCTAGGAGCCTCCAAATTTCTAGGGCCCCATGTTTATATACTTTAATACGTTATTATATATATCAAAAATCTAATATATATCATGTATAGCGGTTGAATGGAAAAATAAAAGAAAATGAGGCCAAAATAAAATCAACATGGACGTGCGATTCTTACGGAATAATTATCACCATCTATTGAGGAATTCTATAAATCAATTGAGGGATTCTATGAATCAAATATGATTTTTTTTCAACGGCAACAAAAAAAAATCGATTCATAATAAATCGATTCTGGTTTTTTTAAGTAGTCTTCTAATTTTTTAATTTGATTTCTGTTTTTTGATTTTTTTTTATTCAATCTTTCTTAATACATCAATTTTATAATCAAATTTCACGCATTCTTAAAAAAATTGATCTTTAATTCATATTAATCTGATTTTATGCGGGCTTACTAATTTGAATTCTAATTTATGATTCATTTTAATCATATATTAACTTGTTATCAATTAATTATAACTATCAAAGCTAATCTAAATTTTATGTTATAGATTAAATTTATATCAATTAGTCATAAATATAAAAGTTAATTTTATTGTTTTAAATTTATGTGAAATTTTTAATTAACAAATGGCATTTATAAAACATCTATTTCGAATTAGCAATATACAAATAATTAATTTGGTTATAACTTTGTAATAAATATATTTTACAAACTTTTTATAAAATATATATATATATATATATATATATATATATATATATATATATATATATATATATATATATATATGTTAAGAACTAATTAGTTGAGGGTTTGAAAAATCTATATAAATTTAAAAAAAAAAAAAAAAAAAAAGAATATAGTATGGAGTATTATTTTGGTGTAAAATATGGTATAAAAAATGATGTATGGTTTGAGATGGTGGAAAGAGTCTTTTCCTTCCAATTTACTGTCATAATACACATCATCTTTCTCTTTCTTTTCTCTTCTTTCTTTCCTAACCTAAAACACTTGGATGCTCATATTTCTCAACTTACATAATAAAAATCATACAAAACTAATTCATAAAATATTAAAAACATAATATTTCTCAACTTACATAATAAAAATCATACAAAGCTAATTCATAAAATATTAAAAACATACAAAACTAACGCAAAAATTAACTAAAAGCATACAAATTTTTTGGTACAAATATAGAAGCATAATGTACAAGTGTTCATTCCATTATTGAAAATGGTGGATGCGAGTTACGGAAGCCGCATATCAATCTACCACTCCCAGCCCATCGAGGAGGGAATGGTAACTCCCCCTTTTTTCCATGATTACGTCATTTCTAAACGCCATATATATATATATATATATATATATATATATATATATATATATATATATATATATATATATATATATATATATATATATATTTTGTCTGGGCCCTCAATTCGATTTGGACGGCACTGATGATGACATTAAACGCTTCAAATGAACATCTAGGACACAAGTGAAGATATTTTTTTTCAAAAGAAAAAATGTAAAAAAAAAAATAAATAAATAATCTTGAAATTTGAAGATCAAACCTGAAATGGAGAATTCTTTGAAAAAAAATATATATTCTAGAATATAAACCGTAGTCAAGAATGAAGCATTCGGAAGAAAGTGGTTATTTTTCAAAACCTGCAAACAATGATTGTCTTTTTTAAATGCTAGGTATATTACTTAATTTCCCTAGTTTTGTTAGTAACATTTGCTCCTTGGTACTACCTACAGGTAGCATTGAAACTAGTTCCCGATAACAAAACCTTGATCGGGATTCTCATGTCAGAAACCGTAGACCAAGAAACTCTCAAAGAGGAATTAAAATCGTTTACATCATTGCTTGCATCATTTCTAAATGAATTACACACAATTTTGGTGAGCTTTTTTTGCTTTTTAAATGATCTCATACTAATGTTGGGAGAATCTCTTAAATTTCAATCTATAATTGATCATATTCTTACATCACCTTGCAGGAAACCTATAAGTTGCACAAGGTAAAAGCTACATAAAGAGTGATCATGAGTGCAAAGAGAAGGCTTAAAAACAAAAACAAAAATACTTTTATGTATATGTATATGATAGTTTTGAGGTTTTGATATGATGTTGTTTGAAAAGGTTGTCTGAGGCAACAAATTTTAACATTTTAGTGATATATGTTGTCATAGATACCCTTTTCTCTACGGGTGAAATACCATATTAGATAGTGCATATGTATGTGTGTTTGTGTAGTGTGTATGTATATATATATGTGTGTGTATGTACATATATTTTCTTGTAATTTGAAATTCCATTAAAGTTCAACTTAGAGAATATAAGCCTTATGACATGTAAAACACAAATAATTATTCTAGCAATTTTCTGGTATAGATCCGTATTTATAATAATTCGAAAAATCATTTCTAAAAACTTATACTTCAAATTTATGTCAGTTGAGTCACCATTGGGTAAAACACACTACTTCCTTTGTCGTACTTGAAGAAAAAAAAAAGTATAACATTATCTATATACAAGTAAGATGTCATTGTACTCTTCAGAACTTAACACAAAACTACCTTTGAAATTAATGATTATTCCAAGTGAATACAACAACTTCAACATCTCAACGTAGCAGATAAAGATATTTAGACGGAGAAACTGAAATATCATAACACAATAGTTGTTGTATCTTGATTGAGTATGCTACAATGTAAGACTGTATGCTAAGGTATTGTGTTGTACGGTTGCGATGGAAATGATGTGGTGTTCGGTCAATGGGCTAGATAAGTCATTGGTGGTTTTTAGATTCAATCAATGTAACAACCCGAAAATCATAGTAAAATTTTTGATTGTAAAACCCTTTAATAATCAAAAACATTGTTTTCAAGAAAATAGTCAAAATCAGAGTATCCCAAAATCTTCAATCAATAAAATACCCAAGGATGATGTGCACAATCACACATTCGCCTTGCCCCGATCATCTGATGTACCCAAAACTATGAAATCAAACTGAAAGTCAAAGCTTATTGAGTTTCTACAAAGTACCCCATGTATTATATATATATATATATATATATATATATATATATATATATATATATATCTTTATACCTTAATAATAAGCATTTAGCCCTAAATGTCGAATTTTAAGAGGTACAAAGGTTTATGCAATATGTACAATAATTTTATGCATCAAAATCTTATGCAGTCGAATAAAATAAAAAGTCAGATGGGCCTTTGAATTGGTATTTCTCATGAATCGGTCAGCCTTTGAATTGGTATTCCACATGAATCGGTCAACAGCAACTACCCTTTATATTAACATCTCCTCTCTCAATTAGGTCAGAACTTGCATGCGCACACCAGAAACCAATAACCACCATCATCAGATTACTCACTCACCACCATCCTCATTCTCTCACTGAAAAGTAGAAGCCCTAACGAAAAACCCATTTTTCACTACCACTGCCACCCCCATTCACCGGTCACCACCATCACAACATCGCTTACCTGCGTCGGAGGCCACCCTTCATCACTGTTATTGTGGATGTTTAACCGTTAGCTTCTCCTTCCCAACTCAAAAAATCATCAAATCGAGCAGGTAACACATTTTGTACCTTTTCTTTACATCCATAAAACCTAGATCGAATGCTCCCGCTACCACCACCTTCAAATCAGTCACTGCAATTGGATGTGATCTTCTACTTATGCTTTCTTATTTATGTTTTCTTCTCCGTTTGCAGGTTTCAATTTGTGTGCAATATACTTGATTAGATATCAGAATGATGGATATAACCGACCATCTTCACATTCACCGTCATCATAGATCACAAGATCCCCACTACCACTTCTCCTTTCTCCGTCATCGGTCTCTCTGTTTCACGAGCTTGAAATCCTACTGAAAACCTTAGCCCCAGCCTGCTGACTAGCAGTATTACCACCATCCACTGCTTTCAACATCATCGGAGAACCATATAACCTTCTACCACCACATAACCAATAAGCCATTGGTACTAAAACCCTAGATCTAGAAACCGATGACCTTTATTTCTTTCCCTATCTCACTCACCATAAAGATTATCATATCTGATAATGCATATGAGTTGGGTTCTAGCAATGAGGGAGTTGAATTTTTCCAACCAAAAGGAATCATTCATCAAAAATCAACACCATACTGCCCTCAACAAAATGGTTTAGTTGAACGAAAACATCGGCACATTTTAGAATTTGCAAGGATATTGTATTTCCAATCAGGATTGGGACACATCTATTGGGGATAAAGTGTCAAAACAACCATTCATTTGATCAATAGAATTCCTACAAAAGTTCTTCAACATAAAATGTCGTTTGAAGTCTTGTATAATGTTGCATCAAATTTACAACATCTCAAAGCATTTGGGTGTTTATGATATGTCAGTTCTCAAAGAACAGGAAGGGATAAGTTCATGCCTCGTACATATCCATGTGTTTTCATTGGGTATCCATATGCTCAAAAAGCTTACAAGATCTTGAACTTAACTACAAATAAAATCTTTGTAAGTCGAGAAATCAAATTTTTGGAAGATATATTTCCTCTTCACTCTCTCCAAAAGTCATCATCATTCATTGACAATTATCTTCCAATCTTATTAGATGATAATTTCAATCATGATTCTCATTTTCCACAAAGTCATGGGGATCCAGTTACTAACTCATCTTCATAAACCATTCCACCTCTTCTATCTTTAAGAAGATCAGCAAGAATTTCTCACCCTCCTTCGTATTTACAATATTATATATGCAATCATGTTTCTTCAAGTGATATATGTCAACATTGTGATCATACAATTAGTAATCTATGTATTGTTATTGATCACTCAATACATAACACTTCCATTGTTGATATTCACCTTCAACATTTAGCCTTTGATGTCACCAATCATCTTTTTGAACCCACATTCTATCATCAAGCAAAAGGAGATCCTAATTAGGAAGAAGCAAGGGCCAAAGAGTTACAAGCATTACAAGCAAATGTTACATGGGATGTTGTTAAATTACCAAAAGGAAAGAAACCTATTTCTTTCAAATGGGTATTTAGAATCAAATATAGGGTTGATGGTTCAGTTGAAAGGCACAAAGCTCGCTTGGTGGTAAAGGGTTTCACACAAAAAGTTGGTATTTATTACCATGAGACCTTTTCGCCCATGGTAAGTGAGATCTTGAGTTGCTTTGGCTATAAAAAGAAGATGGAAAATTCAACAAATGGATGTAAACAACGCCTTTCTTCATGGCGATTTACATGAAGAAGTCTATATGAAAATACCACTTGGAATTCCTACATCTCCTTCTCATGTATGCAAACTCAAAAAGTACTTATATGGTTTAAAACAAGCATCCAGACAATGGTATTCAAAGTTGTCAAAAGCATTAAGAACAAGAGGATATCATCACTCACTTAATGATTACTCTTTGTTTCTTAAAACCACATCTAATTAAATTGTTATTGTAGTTGTTTATGTCGATGACATATTGGTTACAGGTAATAATCAAGATGAAATTTCAGATCTCAAAAGTTTTCTGGATGATCAATTTCGCATAAAAGATTTGGGACAAATCTATTTTTTTTCTTGGATTGGAGTTTAATCATGTTCCTAATGGAATGATTGTAGCAAAAATATATCAAGGAATTTCTTGAAACGTATTTTATAACCAATTGCAATGTTGAATCCACTCCTCTTCCTCACAAGATTCGTCTATTACCAGATATGGAAAATCCTTTAGATGATCCCACAATGTATAGATAGTTAATAGGAAAGCTGAATTTTTTAATTCATACAAGGCCTGATCTATCTTACCCGGTACGTTGCCTCAGCCAATTCAATCAAACACCTTCTCAAGCACATTATGAAGCTGCTCTACATGTACTTCAATATTTTAAAGGAACATTACAACAAGGATTGTTTTTCAACAAAATATCAATTATACCCTTAAGGCATATTGTGATTCTGATTGGGCTGCATGCCTGATCACAAGGCTATCTGTTAGTGGATACTTTATCATGTTTGAAAATAGTCCTATTGCATGGAAATCAAAGAAGCAGATTACCATTTCTTTATCCTAAGCAGAGGCTGAATATCGGTCTATGAGAAGATTAGTTGAATTGGCTTGCTTAAGTCGACTTTTCCATGAATTTCAAGTATCAAATATTACCTTGATACCCCTCAAATGTGATAATCAAGCAGCTATATATAGCTCTAATCTAGTTTTTCACGAGAGAACAAAACATATTGACATTGATTGTCATTTTGTTAGAGAAAAACTTAAAAGTGGCATTATATGTATATCACATGTTTCAACAAATCAACAGTTAGCAATGGTATTCAAAGTTGTCAGAAACATTAAGAACAAGAGGATATCATCACTCACCTAATGATTACTCTTTGTTTCTTAAAACCATATCCACCAGCTTGTAAGGGGTGTTATCATTCTGTATTCATTGCTACGTGTATTGTTTGTTACAGAACTTGTTAGTTTCAATTATTTAGTTATTCATTACAAGTTTGTTTAAGCTCTTGTATATATTTAATGAATATCTCATTACGAATTAATGAAAGAAAATATTCTCTCTCAAAACACATTTCTCTTTCTAGATCTCAAATCTAATAGTTAGTGTGTTTCCTACTTAATTAACTTCATATCAGTTTCCATCTAAATTAGTGATGGTTTGTAGTTTTAGCTTTTGTAATCAGGACTCTCCCTCCCTTTCAACAACAAAAGTGCCAAAAGATATTTATCCAACAATCAACATTTCCTGTTCGCCGCTTTGGTTAATTATTCCTTCCATGTTATATACAATTGATAAAAATGATTTATATTACAACAGAAATTGGGATCATCAACGACGTTGAGTTATTAAATGAACATTATGAAAAATACCAAAATTGTCTATACCTAATAAACCTACATCATTCGATTTACGGGGAGGATCATGGAGTGCAACCAGTGCTGCAACTAGACCAGCATTGCTCGAAATGGTAGGTTCAGTGAACCATGGTTTATGCCTGTCGTCTAAGAACATATCATTTTGATCGGGTCCTCTGACCATAGCTCCCAAAAGTTCATTCGGATTTGATTCTTCTGAGTTCAACCACTTACTCCCTTCGGAACAAGAATGCCACTGATTATCCCATGGGATTGATGCAGCCCTATGGTGGACATGCTGCGGGTAGTTGTTTCCAAATCCCACCATGTAGCTCATTCCCATCGGATTGTCTCCAAGTATGTAATTAACCTAAAACAATATCATACACACACACAAATAAGAAGTAAATAAAGATCACTGATTATTAACGAAGATTCGTTG